TAGGGAATAATTTCATAATTAGACTTGAAAGACAGTCTGGAAAGTACAGACTAAAGAAGAATGTGAAGGTCCAATTAGAGAAAAGATAGATTAATAAATATAGTAATAGTGAAAAATTTGTTGTTTTTCTTTTTCTCTCTCTTTCTAGTATAATTGCATAAGTTGATGTAAATGTACTATCTCACTCTTTGGAATTATATATATATATATATTGGCAAGCCACTCTTTGACCTGGCAGAGAGGCTTGTCATCTTGCCTTCTGCCAGGAGTGGCTAGCTGATCTTCAGCAACAGAGCGATAGGATGCTAGCATGGAGCCCGCAGCAGCAGCGGATTGGTGAACAGACTGTCCGGCACCATGGGGCCAGACCCTCATTATCTCCACCTGTGGGGGGATATTCATATTCGTATACGAATACCCTTATCTCTAGTTGTAACCTATAAAGCCCTTAACGTTTAGGACCTTGGTATTTGGTGGAAACTTTCTCCCAAAAAAAAGATAGTTACCCGTCCCACACACTCCTCCTAGTTCTAGGTGTTAAAAAGCTGTAACATCCAAGAAGGTCTAAAAAGCCAACAGAAGGAACTGAGCTTTCTTGGTTGTGGCCCCTTTCCTCTGGAACAAGCTCCCTCCAGAGTTTCACCAGGCACCATCCCTCCCTCTTTTTCGGAAGCTAATTCAGACTGAATTATACAGATCTGCCTTCTACTAGTGCAAATTTGTCCATAGATATTCAAAAGGGTGTCAATTTGTATATTTCTACTGAAAAGTAGCTTCAGCTAGTGACAGGATTTAATTGTTTCATTGTATGGATGATATAGTGTTTGTTATTTTATCGCATATCATAAATCACCCAGAAAATGGAAACACTAATGGGGTGGTACATACACACACACAAATAAAATAAGATAAAATAAAATCATCTAATCTCTGCAAGCAAGCAGTTCTGATCTCTGGCAACAGGGATCTATCCCTCCCCTGGCAATTTGCACATAAGAATAGTTGAGAAGAGAAAGGATGGAAGGGCCTACTCATTTTGTGATGTTCACCCTGCACATTACTGATTTTGGTCCCACCCACCACAGGTTTGATTGACTGATACAATATGCAGATTGTACCTTCTGCCCAGAATAAAAACCCATCACAGAACCACAGACACACAGGGGCAGAGTTCCTCTTGGGTGGAAAGATGTCTCAAGATCCAAGTTAAAAATAAAAATAAGAAACAGAAATAAAAACAAAAACAAAGGAGCAGTGTTCCCTGAGGGCTGTTCCTGAGGGAATAAAACCTCCAAATGAAAAATATTCCCCTTCCTGTTCTAAGATACTGATTATTGATAACAAATACAGACTCCCTGGCTATAGATTGACTAATTCATCTAATTCATCAATCCTTTATTTTTAATACAGACTCCCTGGCTATAGATTGACTATTAATCTAATTCATCAATCCTTTATTTTTATAATTGGAAAAATATCACAACTAAAACTTCCATTAGCAATACAAAGCTCCTTAGTAAACCAGATGGCATTTCTTCATCTGAAAGGGCAGTTAGTTTAAACCAGCCTGTATCACAGGCCTGTTTTAAAAACCATTCATTAATAATAACATGTTTGGCCTGAATATAGGTTTTAATTCCAACTTGCAACTGACTTGAAATGGGAAAGTTAGCAGAACAAACAGAAGAACAATGAGGAGCATCCAACACTATTTTTATATGGCTATGATGTTCTGTCATTCAGTTTTTACTCACAGTGGCTCTAAAATAATATAATATTTCAAGTTATGTGAGATATGTAAAACCTCTGGGAGATCGAGTGGGAGATCCAAACCCAGGTCTTCTAACATCCGTCCCATCATTCTATCCACTACATCAGCCATTTTGAACAGGGGGCACATTTGATTTGAAGGGGGGGGCACACTGGAAACAATTCTCCACACACCACCTTATAAGGTTCATTATGCAACTTGTGCAATCTTGATCCGGCCTATATTTCTTTAATATTGTGATTATGGCTGGGGGGGAAGGCTGAGACCACACCATACTGACTCTCAGATTTCATACAGAGGTGAAAAAAGGAAATGTTGAAATTGATTATTTAAGGCAAGGGCAGGTGACATGTTATCCACAGAGGTTGCTGGATGGCCACTGTCATCTTTTCTCATCGCTGGCTATCCTGGCTACAACTAGTGAGAGTTGCAGTCAACAACTGGAGGGCTATAGGTTGCCCAACCCTGTGTTCATACAATCCTTCATCTCAAGGTTCACCATGCCAGGTGGGATGGTAGGGGCGTGGGGAGAGACAGGAGTTTTTTTTGTATTCATAGTATAGAAGTGTTTCTCTTAACAGACAGATGCAGACCCCTTATTAAGTTATTTTTAAAAAACATAGACAGTAGAAAGTCCAAACTCAGCAACATAGTCTTGCATGTATCCCAAAGCCAAACACTAGATGGCGCTAAGACGTGAGAAATGCTCACACCCTGAACCAGCTAGATTTTTCACCCTCAATATCCATACCAGAGGTCCCCAACTTCCGGTCCGCAGCCCGGTCCTTATCCATGGCCTGAGCCAGACTGGGCTGCAGAGACAGACCTCCCGCCCCACCCCTGCACAGCTGATTTACGCATGCACGCATGCTCCAGCATGCCTGTGCGAGTGCCACACCGTTTTTGTGCATGCGTGTGAGCGCACAAACACTGTGCTGCCGTTTGTGCATATGCGTGAGTGTGCATGCCCGCACACGAGCTAATTTGTGCATGCGCACGAGCGCAGGGAGTGTCCCGCCTTTCCCAGCTGGTCCTCAGGGTGAAAAAGGTTGGGGACCCCTGCGCTATACAACACAGACTAGATGCTATGCCTCTCCCTGGCTTTTTGCCATCCAATATCCAAACACATTTTCATTCCCAAGTTTGCTCTCAAGGAAAGCTCCTCAGACATTACACCAGGGAGGGAGCAAGCTCATGGTGTCCAAGAGCCAATTTTCCACTTCCAAGACCTGCTACAGACTGCACCACCACAGGAGAAAAAACCAGAAATGGCCAACCATCTCCTTTAAGTTTTCAAACATTGTTTTTAGTGGAGAATGAGGCACATAGCCCAACTTGAATCTGTGAGCATTTAAACTGCGACTAAGGCTAAGAAGAAATTGCTATTAACACTGAAACACACGCTTATCAAACAATAACCTCATCTAAAGTTTAACACCAATTTACCTAAGGATGTGGAGGTCTAATCTGTTTTCTATATGCATTAACAGAAGACAACTGATAGTTCTGATAGGGATAGAGACAGAGAAATTCCTGAAGGGCAGCTACTGGGCACTAGTACTGGAAGGTGATACTGGTGGACAATCGGTGATGGCTAGGACACTCAAGCAAACTCCTGTTAGTACTGTTCAGAAGCTGGCAATGGTAGGCTGTTTCTGAACATTTCTATTTCTGTAACAGGACCCTTTGGAGGTCATTAATACATACAGTGACTATTACGTAAATCAACAAGAAAAAATAAACAGAGGAAGACAGAAAAGTAGAGAGAGAAAATTATTAACACAAGGGAAAAGCAAGGGAATATAGTTAGTTATTTTTGTGGCAAACCAGAAAGAGATACAGTGGTGCCTCGCTTAACGGGCACTCTGCTTAGCGTTGAAATCGCTTAGGGATGACTTTTTCGGAGCGTTTTTGCGCTTCGTTTAACGATGGTCCCTATGGGTGATTTTCGGTTAGCGATGGTTGGGACCATGCTTCGCATAGCGATTAAATTTTGGGTCCCCTGTTTCGCTTAACGATGGTTTAAACAGCCTCATGTTTGCTGTTTTTTAAATGTTTTCTTGTTATTTATTAAATTAATGTTTAATGTTTAAAATGTTTGAAATCATAAAGTGCACTTAATAAACCCTTTGTTAACGAAATTTGAGTTTGTTCTGATTTTTTTTAATTTGTTGTTGTATTTTTCCCCCATTGACATGCATTGAATAGGTTTCAATGCATTTCAATTTGTGAACCGTGTTTCGCTTAGCGATGTTTCCTATGGCGATTTTCGCTTAAGGACGGCAATTCGTTCCTATTGGAACGGATTATCCAGTTTTAAATGCATTTCAATGGGAAACCGCATTTCGCTTAGCGATGAAATCACTTAGCAGCGATTTTTTCGGAACGAATTAACATCGCTAAGCGAGGCACCACTGTAACATGGACACACACAAAAGCACACATATATGTACATATATATGTATACACTCACACACAACATATAGGGTTTTTTCCCATGCCACAGAATGTTTGAGATGGCCCTTTTCTTCCTTTTGTTTCTTTGTTCACGACCTTTCCTCCCTCTTCCATTTTTTCTGCTCTCCATAGACAGGCATGTGGGAAATGTAGCCCCATACTATTTAAAAAAGAAAGCACACAAGCATGTACTCTAAGCAGAAATTTCTGTTTCCTTTAACCAAGAAATATCCAGACAAATAATTTTTCACTTCTGTAAAAGAGGGGGTGAGAGTGGGAAGATATGCTCTGCATTGAAAAGGAAATAACCAAATTTAAAAACTTTCCACCAGGTTTTGCTGCCTTGGGCATGTGCAAAATGAATAAAGGTTAAAAAAAAAAACAGAAAAACAATATATGAACATTTGAGACACACACAAGCATGTACTCTAAGCAGAAATTTCTGTTTCCTTTAACCAAGAAATATCTAGACAAATAATTTTTCACTTCTGTAAATAAGGGGATGAGAGTGGGAAGATATGCTCTGCACTGAAAAGGAAATAACTAAATTAAAAACCTTTCCACCAGGTTTTGTTGCCTTGGGCATGTGCAAAATGTTTCAACAGAATAAAGGTTAAAAAAACAGAAAAGCAATATATGAACATTTGAGACATATTATTGACTGCCACAGCCTCCCATTTTTAGTTGGGTCATGCTGGATCTTCCGTCCTTCTTTTTCTTCCCTTTGCTGCCCCCTGTTCTGTAAAAACAATCAGCACGTCAAAACAAAGCAGGAGGTTCGCATTCTCAACTTTAATCATATCACATCAGAAAAACAGTTTGTACAATATGGGAAACAACTTGTCTTTCAAAACAGGTGTCTTAGTAAGAGGTTTTCAGTCCATATACAGATGCTAAGGCGCCCCACAATTCTCCTTCATTCTTCTTCATTGGAGCCAGGAGGAATTAAAATCAGATGGATAGTTGCTCCACTGTCACACACACACACCCTTCCTTGCTTTGTCAGACAAACTTCTGCGCAATAGCCAACACTTTGGAGAACTTTCCTTGCTTTTTCCGAAGGAGAGATGGTATCGGGACCTTAATCCTTGTCCCCAATGGACTCCCATTGTCATCGATGAGCACCACGTTGTTAGAATCAAACCTGGGTTTCATGGGCCCGCTGGGCATCTTGTGCCCAACAATTAAGGCCTTCCTCTTTTCTCCTTTGATAGCCAGAAGGATTGTGTCACCTACTTTGCCCACTCCACTTTTGTTGTACACGTGGATGCATTTCGGAGGCCGATGGCGTGACGCGCTCCCCAGAGAGCTGTTATCTACCACCCGCACAGCAGTCATCTTCTGGATGGCACTGAGCAAACCACTGAGGCTGGGAAAAGACAAGGAAGATAAATAGAGAGGCTTCAAGGAACACACTCCCTGTGAGACCACCAACTGAAGAAAGAGGTCATGTCCTGCTTGCCCCAGCCTGTATTTAAAACATCATTTAAAGCTAAAAGCAACATTGAAGCCACATATTTAGATGTCGCTAAGTGCAAAGCAGTAGCATCTGTTATGAGGAAATCAAATGCAGTAAAAGAAGAGAAGAAAGGAGCAATTAAAGGCTGAGCTCTAATTTTTGCACTTTCACACTTCTGCCCTTCTAAGAGGGGACCTTTCTACATCCACTTATCTGAAGAAGAAACTTGGATTCTGGGGCATATTCTAGGCTGAAACTCTGCAACAGAAAGGGGGGAAAACCCAGTAAATTGTTTCCTCTATGAAGGTTGATTCCTCGCAACCTTCTTTCTGATGCTGATTAGATACCAAGTTGGCTTCTCTTTGCTTCAACTGAAAGATCTATATAGAAAAATTTTAGCAAGTGAGCTGCAATCCTGTACATATTTCCATGGGAGAAAACTCCACTGCACCCAGTAAGGTTTACCTCTGAGCAGATAGTATATAGCTTCATTGCTGCAAAAAAATTAGATGCTGAAAGCACTCAGCATGTCTTTTATTTCACTGTAAATATTTTTTTTTAAAAAAGTAATCATATAGTTTTATTCATGTACTTGTAGTAAATTATTGTGAAAATTACTTGGTAAGAGCTCAGAAGTCATATGGAAACTAACAATGCAATCCTATATATATATAGCTCTTACCAATTAATTTTCACAATAATTTACTACAAGGGCTTCTAGTAAATTATTATGAAAATTACTTGGTAATATATAGCTCTTACCAAGTAATTTTCATAATAATTTACTACAAGGGCTTTAAACATAAATAAAACTATATGATTAATTTTTAAAAAATTACTTACAGTGAAATAAAAGACATGCTGAGATGCTTTCAGCATCTAATTTCTTAAAGCAATGAAGCCAATTTTTTTAGAGCAATAAAGGCTTTACATTAAATAACACTGTTAGGAAAAATAAACTACAAGTAAATTATTGTGAACCACAACACCTTATATGTAATTAATTTCATGAGCATTTGGTATTGGATTCTCTACCATGAAGATAATTCCTCACAAGAAAGGACTGATAATTAAATGCTAATCTGACATATTTTTCTCAGGAGGTTGGAATAAAAGATTGGAAAACGAATCTATCACCTCACTAAGTAAAGTCTGTAGTAGAAAACAGGTGTTCTACCAGAGAAAGGAAGATATTCAGATGTGGTGTCAGATAGAAAACTCACCATTTTTATACATATATCTTTTTTAACATGAAAGAATTTTAATGTAATTTTTTGGGGGGGAAATATGGATGCGCTCACATGTAGCTGTATTGGTCTATCTCAATACATCACAAAAATATAAAGGGAAAAAAGGGGAGGGAGGGAGTAAAAAAGGCAAAATATAATATTTAAAGGCTAACAGACTTATTTCAGTGGGCAGGATGCAAGTGCCACAACGTTTTTCTTTCCTCTTTATTTTCACCAACAGGCTAGGTTAATATTTTACTTCCTGACCCATCTGAAACAAGATTTGAGTAGTCACTAGGCCAGCTCTTGAATTTTAGTATAGCTCTTCTCCCTACCATGTCAGAGTAGGTTGTAGGTGGACAGGATACGATGACTTTCCCTTTTCTTGACACCTGCCTACTCACTGATTAAGGAGCAGGGGGAAAACCCCATTAAAACCTAGATCTTTGTTTTTTATATGTTCTATGAAGGCAGCAGGAAAAGAGGAAGACGAAGTACGAGGCCAATGGACTCCCTAAAGGAAGCAACAGATTTGAGTTTGCAAGAGCTGAGCAAGACTGTTGAGAACAGGATGTTTTGGAAATCATTCATTCATGGGTTCAACATAAGTTGAGGGCAGCTTGACAGCACACTACAACAATATGATGTTGCCTGGACATTTGCTTTCCTGGCTTTAAAAAATACTAAGCCTGAGTTTGAGAATGCTTGCCTATCAATCCACCTCTTGCCCACCTCAAGCTTCACTGAATGGAAATTCAGTGAAATTATTGTCATCAGAACACCCACATCTTTGTCATTCAAAAGCAGAAAGCAGTTTTAAGAGTTGCCTGACATTTGATAGCCAACATACAGTGGTGCCTCGCATAGCGACATTAATCCGTGTAGCAAAAATCGCTGCTAAGCTATTTCGTCGCTATGCGATATTAAAAAGCCCATAGAAACGCATTAAAACCTGTTTAATGCGTTCCTATGGGCAAAAAAAATTACCTTAAAGCGAAGATCCTCCATAGGGCAGCCATTTCCGCCGCCTCTTAAGCGAGGAATCCGTGCAAAAACACAGCGGGTGGCCATTTTTTTTACCCGGCAGCCATTTTGAACCTCCGATCAGCTGTTAAAATGTTTTCATTTTGCGATGATCGGAAAGTGAAACAGGGAACCGATTATCGCAAAGCGAAAAAACCGCATAGGAAACATCGCAATGCAATTGCTTTTGCGATCGCAAAATCTTTGTCGCTATGCGGTTTCGTCACTAAACTGAGTGCCCGTTAAGCGAGGCACCACTGTACATTCACCATGACAGTTCAAAAGAGACCACCACATTTTGGACTACAACACCTGTCAGACTCAGCTAAGATGGCCAATGATAAGGGATGGTGGGAATTTAAAACATCTGGAAGGAACACAGTTAGGGAAGGACAGAGCAGATGGTCCTAAGTGAGATGGGCCATATATCTACCTCCATAGGACAGCTCACATGCTCCTAGATCTGGCTCTGAATACACAGGGTACAGATAAGGAAAACAGCAATTTAAAAGATATACAGTACAGTCACAATTTAAATGCATTTTTGCACATTAATAATTGCATATTAATGAAAGGCAACCTTCCTGACATAGAGTCCAAGCAGTGTGCTCTTCATGGAAAATATACTTGCTATGTATGGAATTTCTGGAAATGGCCACCTGGGCAAACAAAGATCTTCAGAGAAAAGATCTGCCTGATCTCAATGCCCACAGTTCCAACAGCCAAACTGGGGCCACACCTCTTTGTTTAAAACAGCCACTCAAGAAATTCTTGAATGGCCAACTTTTCTCTCAGAAGCTCTCTAACTCTACAAAGCACTGATCATATGACAGAGGAACAGCAGAAGTCAAGGGTCTTTGTTCCCTCTTGAAGGTGAAGTTATTTAGCACAAGTATTTCCCACACTTGCAAACCAGCATCTCAAATGCCAAAGAGGGAAGGGCACATACTTGAACCACCTAACACAAGGGCATTTTAAGGAACATTCAAAGCCAACATATATAAAGCCTGCCTATTGATTTAAGATAGTACAGAGCACTAAGCCAGGTTGCTCTGTACTATCCACTCCAAACAGCAGTAGATCTAGCTTGGAAGGTTGCAGACAAGTGGCTGAAATCCTGTTTGTTTAATAAGTCACAACTTGAATCAGTGGGGATTTGGCAAGTCAACTCTTCCATATGTTCCACTGATTCAAGTGGACCTACTTTGGCTGCAAATTACTACACTAAAGTAAGTTGCAATTAGAGTAGGTCCATGTAAATCAGTGGAACTTATGGAGGAGTTAACTCACCAAATCCCCACTAATTCAATGGGCCTACTTGAGTGCCACTTAGTATGTAATAGTCTTTAAGGTGCCACATGTTTTGGTTGGGTTTGTTTTTTTACCTTTCGATTTTTCCTGACATCCTCTTACAAAACTGAAGTTTCTACTTTTTTAAATCTCATAAATATGCCAAATTGCATGATTCTGAATGTTAATAATGTTACCAATGAAGCTTTTTTGTATTGTTAAAGCAGTAAAATACATTTAACCCTCCACTTACCCAAATTTCAGTTTTCCTATCCACATACAAATTCCTCTCACAGTTTCAGAATGTCTGCAAATTTAACATCACTGTCACTCCACTGTTTCTCCACTTCACTATCATTACACCTCATTCTTGGTCTAACTCCAGGTTTATTACATGGAACGCAAGGCAGGACAATTTGGTCTTTTATGATACCACATGAAGATGTTAACCATCCCAACTGTGGGAGTAGCCTTCCTCTGGTTCGGTATGTTGAAATAATATGAAGCTACAGAGTTCAATCCCATGGTTCAATATAGACTGCAGGAAGAATTAAAATAAATCTTCAGTCTATTCTCTAGTCTCTTTTCCCCACGATGGTGATAGAGAAAGAGAACCATCAGCCTGAAATATTAACATATAAGATCGCATATATACAGTAGTACCTACATTTATGAATTTAATGTGTTCTACGGAATGTTACATAATGCGAAAAATTCATAAACCGAAATGCAGTTTGACATAGGAATGGGGGGTGGCGCTATAAACCTCCAGGCACAATGCATCCTGGGGAAACTTCCTTTGTGCAGCGGGGGGAAAAACAGAAACCAAGGCGTTATTTTCAATAGATTTTCGTTTGTAAACCGAAAATTACGTTAACCGAGGTGTTCGTAAACCAAGGTACTACTGTATGTTTAATATATTTTTACTGTTTTTGCTTCTCTGCCTTCACCAACAGACCAACGCAAGATTCCCTCTAAGGTGTGTGGCTGTATGAGCATGCATGACTCCGCTCCCCACCCCGTCACACTCCTCCTCCGTACACTCACCGTGAATGTTTCCAGCCATTTTGATTCCGGTCAGGGCGGAACTCCATTATACAAAGTCGCAGGCAGAGCAGAGTGTGCAATGGATGGAGCCCTGCCCAGCAAGGCTGAAAATTAGAGGTAAAGTTGAACCAACACCTAGACCTATGCAACTGACCCATCACTTTATCTCTGCTCTGGAAAATGCAATAGGAAGCATAATGACTTTCAGAGCAAGACGTTATTTTCTACAATCTTTTGGAACAATCATTTACATCAATAGGAAGAATCCAGAATATTCTTATCAATAATGTTAATGAATGCAATACCATTCTGTAATGTTCCTTTAATGGAAAATATGGAGTGTATCTACTAATCAACCAGCTGATTTCTATTACTTTGAGAAACATATGCAAGATATCATATATTCAATATATTGAAGAGCAAAGACCATTTTTATCTGGTCATATTAGAATAAATACCTGAAATGTCGATGATTTGCTGCTGTGCTTATTTGGGGTAGGAGCAACCCCAAGGACCTTTTCAAGAGAGTCATCAGGATTCTGCTAAGAAACCCTGCACAAGAAACAAAGAGGTTTTTTAAATTATTATTGCTGACTGGTTTGTATAAAGACAGAGCAAACTCAATTCCGAGAGGCTGAGGTGAGGTGGTAGAATTGTTCTAGTGCATAGCAGAAGTAAAGAAGAATAGCAAGGAGTACCACATAAACTCACATAAATACTTTTTCATTAGACCTTTATAATTGTAGAAGAAATTGAATACGATGAATGTTATATGCACTAAATCTTAGTTGTGTTAAGTTATGTACTGATATTGTTATTTTCATTATAATAAAATTACCAAATTTTATAAAAAATTTTACAAAACTTACACAGGGACATGGTGGCGCTGCGGGCTAAACCGCAGAAGCCTGTGCTGCAGGGTCAGAAGACCAAGCAGTCATAAGATCAAATCCACGCGACAGAGTGAGCTCCCGTCGCTTGTCCCAGCTCCCGTCAACCTAGCGGTTCGAAAGCATGCAAATGCAAGTAGATAAATAGGGACCACTTTGGTGGGAAGGTAACAGCGTTCCGTGTCTAAGTCGCACCGGCCATGTGACCACGGAAGATTGTCTTCCGACAAACGCTGGCTCTATGGCTTGGAAACGGGGATGAGCAACGCCCCCTAGAGTCGAACACGACTGGACAAAAATTGTCAAGGGGAACCTTTACCTTTACCTTAAAATTACCAAAAAAGGGAAACTGTAAAGTTCTCTCCAGCTCAGAGTCAATGCAAGGCAGTAACACATAACACAATAGGATTATATTTTTAAGGTGTGGGGAGAGGGATGATGTAATGCAGCCTTGGGTTGACATCCCTTAAAATGGAGTCCACCAGAGGCGCTGAACTGTAACACCCATCCTTTCCCAACATGGCTGCCATGGTACCTGGAGATGACTAGATTTGTACTTTAACAAACCTGAGAAAGATTGCAGCACCCTAAGCTCACAGTCTATGTTGTTGTTGGCTGTTTGTTTACACACACACACACACACACACTTTTTTCTTAAAGTACAGACACCTTTATGCCAAAGGAACTTTTCTTTGGACCATTCTCTTCCATCTACCAAAATATTATGCAGTAAAGTTATAAGCTGCTGAGATTTTCTTTTCTGAACCTTTTTAAAAGTGCTAAGAAATCTAAATTCTTAATTAAGAAGAATAAATTAAGAGGCCACATTTCTATGCTTTGATCTTCATTGTGGCACTGTATTAGTTATATTATATAGGTTTAAGCCCATTGGCTTTCAGGTAATAAAAAGTCTCACAAACCAGAGAACTCCAGGCAGCTTCAGATTCAAAGTAACCCGCATGAGGAAGAAAGGACTTCTGTCATACTCAGATCAATGACCACAAAGTAACCACACTGCAAGATGACTGACCTCTAAAAACAGCACCAATAAATTAAATTTCATTATTCTTAATTTTAAGTACAATTACCGGACCTTCATTCTAATAATGGATTTGCTTGGGGGGAAAAATCTGTTCTGTTTTGCCCATCTTTTCCCTATGACTTGTTACAACAGTGCACCAGAAGGCTGTATTGTCTGACTAGCACACAGGAGACAAAAGGGGCCTAAATTTTAAAACAAAACAAAACAAAACAAAACAAGCAATCCAAGGCTATCAACTGGAGCCTCAGTTGAAAAAACAAGTTTGCATCAAAGATGGAAATTCTTAATATGGACCTTACTTCGTGTGCAAATTCTTCTCATTCTGGTTTTCAAACATTGACAAATACAATACCTACTATGTTTTCATACAAGTCAATGGAACAGGCAGTTTCTGCACATAACTGACCGCCTGGTTTTGGCTGGGAGCAGGCTTTCCACAATTTAAGAAAACTTATCTTTAGCTTGTCATTTTAAGAAGACTACATTGCAGGGCTGCCATAAGATATTCTCTCAACAGCCCTCCAGCCTGCAACAGGACGGTTCACAGTGAATTTGCAATATAAGCCAGCACTATTAATAGTGAATTACTCTGCAGTGTTGCTGCATACTTCTGTCTCAGCCCAACATACAGCATAAGGAGAACAGCAAGATTGCCATGAAACATTCTCTCAAGTTTCTATATGTTTTAATAACTTAGAACCACATAGATTGCCATGAAACATTCTCTCAAGTTTCAATCTCAAACTGCAAAATATGTTTTAATAACTTAGAACCACATAACAGGGTAGATATAAACTAGGTATACCCAGTGTGGAACTGCAGATAGAGTGATGGATTAGGACTCAGAAGATCTGGGTCTGAATCCTGTCTCTGCCATGGAAACTCACTAGGGAGGTGGAACTAGTAAATCCATTCCTTAAATATCTCACTTTGAGATATGTCACTGTAAGTGACTTAAAAGTCGGGATCACTATAAGTTGGTTCCAACTTGAAGGCACAACAACAACATAAACCATCCAAAGCCTGGTTTGTGACATTCCCTGTGAACTCTTCCCTGCGGGACTGTTTTAACTCACCCGGATATAGCCCTTTCCTAACAACAATCCGGGAAGTACGAACAGTATTGGCTTTGGGAGTCACAGAGTTGTTGCTTTAGAACATGTTAGAAAGAGAAGGAATCTCCTGTTATACATATTTTGAGCTTTTGGAGTGGAGAACACATTTGTACCCAATCCCAGTCTCATTACATTCTTGGATTTCTGCAACAATTCCTATTGGCAGTTCTCATTTCTGTTTCTCTGGCAACATTTAACAGCAGCTTTTCAATGTAAAGTAGGAAATAACTATTCAGACGACCACATGGTTCTCCCCATCATGTTTACTACTCAGTGTCGCCTCCAACCTCCATTCTAGTCACTGTTGTTTTTCACCACCTTCACCCCATTGTTCTCATAGGGCTGGTTCCTTGCAACCTTTCCCTTACATCCTCTGACGTTTCTACAAATCTTGAAGTACCCCAAGTTTAAAAACCCTGTCTCTTGTATATGGCTGTTCTAAGAGCATTCTTCCCTTAAAATGACTGAAACAGAATATAAAACAAATGCAGATGGAAAAGGGAAATTTTGTTTTCTATTTATATTCTTCTCATAATTCAAGCATTCATGATACATCAATTTCCAGACAGATGCTGACATCTGAATCCTTTTCAAACCGACTGATCAAAACTACCAGCCAAACCAAGTACTAATTTATATTCAGTGTGTATAGCTAGACTGTGGCGAAGATGCTTTTTTGATACCAGGTTATTCACACAACACTAGCTGTCATTTTTTTAAGCTAGCAACCGCATACACAGTTCTCCACCAACACTGCACCATAACTGCTGCACTTAAGCTCTAGCACACTAATCGCTTTGCTTTGTTTAAAACGAGCAAATAAAAAAGGGAACCCCACTGAACACTTGGAAGCAAGACAGTATCATTTTACCTCCTCTTCTTCTATCATTCAGGAACTGTTTACAGTCAATGCCAATCTGGATTCAAAATAAGCTACATAAACAATGGTGAAAAAAACTGGTTTATTTTCAGAGAGGGGCTAGTAACTGGGAGACAAAGGATATTGTATTTCCCATATGCAGAATGCTCGGGTGAAAGTACCTGCTGTCAAGATTGGTGTGCCTAACCTCTCCCTTGAACGATAGTCCCATCAACACACCCTTCAGACTAGCAATGGGAGTGGACAGCCTTCCAGATATTCCTGGGTTATGACTCCCATCATCCTTCACCATTATCTATGCTAAGGCTAATGGGAGATGCAGTCAACGTCGAGAAGCCTTATGCCCTCCATTTCTACCCCAGTTGTTCTAAAATGTTTTTTCCCTTCCCCAACTAGACTGGAAAACGAGCTTCTTTGAGAGAAAAAATGGAACTGAAGAAATCATTGCCAGAGCAAAGAAACTGACGAGAATCAAAGGAGCCCTTCCCCCATACAAGTCTCTTCCTGTAAGTGTACCCAGTGCCCTCATCTACTGTATGGTGTGCAGTACCATGGCAAGCACTAGTCTCATGACACGGATTAGCTCAAACTTCTGCAGTTCAGTTCTCAAGTGGTGTGCAGATGTGGCTGTTCTTCAAACAAAAGCGCAACAGAAACTTCCATCTTGTAGGCCAGACAGACATCCATGGCATGGTATCTACATATGTAAAGGACATTTTTTTTAATTTTGAGAAAAATATTCAATCCTGCAACCCACCATCTACCATAGAGAGAAGAGAATGCTATTTTATTTTATTTTGTTCTGTTTTGAGTTTGCCTGAAGCAAACCAGGTTCCCCATATTGACTCAATGGACCTGCTCTAGTGCAACTCACTCTGCTAAGCACCAGGATTTCAGCCACAGGCAGCTTCTCCATTTTTGAAAGTATAAAACCCAGTACTGTCTCCAACTTTAAACCAAACGCTGAACAAGATACTGTAACAGTTTACTAGGGCTATGTAGACACATTGTTTCACTTTATCTTGTCTGTGCTTCAGAATATTCCTTCTTTTAGGAAACAGACTTCTTTTTTTAACCTCTGTGGGACAAGATGGATCTCTCCTGTTTTGCTCCTACCCAGTTCCATGGCACTCCTGGTGAGATGAATAGCAGTTTCCTAGGATTAAGACCCACAGAGTTTAAGGAGACTTATTCTAAGTACATACTCATAGAACTGCAGTCCACCGTTTGCCATTTTGATCTTGCAAACTCTATTCTGCACCGAAGTGACATTACAGTAGAGCAATTAAAGTTGCTTTGTTTTAGTAAGCAAATAATGTGTACAAATATACACTTCAAAAAAGAGGTTTTTTATTTTGTTTTATGAATAAAAAACATGTTGAAAACTTTAGGACACAACACAATACATAAAATGTGACTAGTATCGCCAAATGTGTTGAAAGAGATGTTATGGTACCTCTGTTATCCCTACTATCTCACTAACCAATCTTCTTGGGCTATAATCTGACACTGTCTTATTGTCCATAGAGTACAAATGGGATCAGAACTAGAATGTCAGTAAAATTAACCTCAGTCCAGTCAAGATCTAATGCAGTGTGACTCACATTAGGGGTCATGACTCCCAAGAAGTTTGCAAAGTGTTTTCTTGGGCAGGGGTGAGTGCCTTATACGTATATGCTGTAGCCCTTTTTAAATAATTTCTTCCTTGACCTTTCAAAGCTGGATATTAAAGTTAACATGTGCATGTACGTATGTGAAACAGGCTCTTGGGGGAAGAAAGAAGCCTCTACTTTCTAAGAAGGGATGACTTTACCATTCCACCTGCACCTCATATTCTGGGATGCTGCAGGTGGTGACCCCAAGGGAGGCTCAAAAATCTGCCACTCAAAACCAAGCCTTCTTTGTGGTTGCCCCAACATTTTGGAACTTGCTCCCACCTGAGGTACAATCCAGCCCCTCCCTCCTTGGTTTTAGGAGACAAGTTCAAATCTGGCTTTTTTAACATGCTTTTTATGGCCTTACCCCAGAGCAATCTTACTGAATGATTGGGATTTTTTTGTGTGCTTATGAACTTGCCCTGTTTTTGCCACCTAATATTACTGTATTCAATATTAATAACTATTTTAGTTACTATTCTTTATTAGTTATTTTATTTTTATTTGTAGATATTTATGTTCCTTGACTGCCATTTCTTCATGTGATTTTTTTTAAAAAATTGGATTTGTTGTGTACTTTTTGTGTTCTTTATTGTAATTTGTTTGCCACCGAGAGTAGTGGGATAAAAATTAACAAGTAATTAAATTAATTTATTAACAATGCTTTTTATGCAAATATGGTGGGGGGTGTCACAGGTTACTTGGCTAATATAAAAGTGGCCTGTGACTCAAAAAAGGTTGCTAACCACAGCAAATCTGATGATGAAGTAAAAATGTTTGCATATAGAATCAATGTTGACTTAACTATTTAAGAGAGAGTGCTCCTGTCACATATAGTTTTGTATATACTAGCATTAAAATTAATCAACTTTTCTTCTTCCCGATATCCACTGCCTGGTGAACCAGAGGGCATATTTGAAAGAGATGTATACATTGGCTTCAAAACCACCTTCCATGATTTAAAAACTCACAAAAATTGTTTGACTAAAGAAGCAAATCAACTGAATGGTTTCTAAATGACATATTCCTAATTGCAACTAATACATTGGGTTGAATCCAACTCTTTTCCCCAACACTGAAGAAGAGCTCTTTCATCCATCCAGAGTCCTGGGTTCAAATCTCCATTCGGTCATTAAAGTCCAATGAGGGTGTGA